ACCATCTCATCCTCTGCCGTCCTCTTCTCCTTTTGCCTTCAATCTTTCCCCGCATCAGGGTCTTCTCCAAATGTTAAAAGCCATGTAGTAGTGATGTAGGCATCACAGTGTCATCGTGCAAATGATGTCAGTTATGTCACTTGCATCATGAGTTTGGTGATGCATGCGATGCCACTCCACCCTCCTTTTTATCTAACATTTAGGTAACTTCTCAGCTCTTGGCAATAGTACAAAAGCGCTTTGCCTTCCTTTATTTTCAGCTTTCCAGGCTAACTGAATCCTTGGTTTCTCTGGTTGTCCCCCTTCTAAGTACAACCAGCTTCAACACTTTTGCTTTCCACACTTAGCCTAGATCAGCTAGGTAGAAATGTCCTGTGGCATTCAAATATGATTTTCTAAATATTGTTGTGTTTAAATATTTTTAAATGCAGGTAGTCCTCAACTTATGACAGCAGTTGGAACTGGAATTTCCATCGCTAAGCAATGCAGTTGTAAAGCAGGACTGCATCGCCTAGCGGCAGCAATCCCTACATCCCCAGTTGCCATCATTAACCGAATCCAACGGTCATTAGGCGAAGCAACTTCCTGCCAACTTCCCACAACCAAGTCAGTGGGGAAGCCAGCAGAAAGTTGCAAGTCCCAGGCCAGCAGGCAGGTAAGTGGCTGCTGCTGGGTGGGGGAGAGTGTGTGGGGATGTGTGAGGGTGTGAGGGACGCGCAGCAAAGCTCAGGGAGGGTACACAGGTGGACGGTGCAGCGCAAGCGCAGAGGGGCTGGGGAATGGTGCACTGGTGGGGGAGAATTACTCCAGCGATTTGCAACCTTCCCTGCCAGCTTCCCCACTGACTTTCTTGGGAAGCCGGCAGAGAAGGTCGCAAATGGTGATCGTGTGACCGCAGGATGCTGCAAGCAGTCGTATGTGTGATCTGGTTGCCAAGTGCCCAACTTTTGATCACATGACCACAGGGGTGCTGGGATGTCCAGAACTCTGAGGCCTGGTCATAATCACCATTTGTTCAGTGCCGTTGTAATTTCGAACAGTCGCTGACCAAATGGTCATAAGTTGAGGACTATCTGTATTGACATCTGCAAAATAATAACTGTCTGGCCTGAGTCTTAGGAAACTCTCAAAACCTTTTTATCCTGACATTGAGTGGGTTGGAGCACGTTGAATTCCTTTTTTTGGTTCACTCCTTGTGCTAGAAAGCCCTAATGCATCTCTGCTGGCTTATGGCTGAGCACGTGGCATGCAACTAGCATTGTAGCTTGTCAGCCTTGATTTATGGGTTAGCACTCTGTACAAACCTGGCAATTATGGCTTGTTCAGGACATGTTAGTTAAAGCAGCCTTTGCCTTAGCATATTATTGGCACCCAGCATCTCTTTTTGCAGATTATCCAGAGCTGCAATTTAATTGCCCTTAATCTTTACAGTGTGCAGACCATGTTTCCTGCAAATCCTGAAAGGGTTTGATACTCTACATGAGGAAAGCTGCAATATAGAATATCATATATGATCAGGGATGGTTATGAAAAACCACAGGATCATTTAAAGATAAGAAGAATCAAATTGTGTGATTGTTACTAATTATGTGCATCATGGAGTTGGATTTACCAGCACCAAACTGAATGTGGAAGTAGGAAATGTTTCTGCAAAGAAGAGGGGTGTGTGTCCCCTGATAATTACTATTTAAAAAAAAATGCAAGGACAAAAAATATTTTTGGCCAAAACAGTTGTGATATAGGTTGGAGCTATGACTTGGCTGATCCATGGATGGGAGGCTACCAGAAAACTCAAGGCCTGTGGACTAGATTAGGAAGTGAAAAAAAATCTCAGAAGACACCAGTGGCCAGCCAGTTCCATATGGTTACCAAGAAGGCTACGTGAATGGGTCTTTCTAGTCACCAGGACCCCAGGGAGGCTTCATCTTGTTCTGTACACCCTAGACCACTCCAATCCGTGTTAGAACACAGTCATGCTTTTAAAGGAATTGAAATGACTGTTTTGGCACTTGCAATTCAGGATTTCAGAAATTCCTCAATGCTTTATGGCTTTGATTTCCCAGATCCCTTCTGTCATTAAAATAGTTTTTTTTCCCCCAATAGAACAATAAAATATGTCATCTTGTGATGATTTGGAGGAGTGATTTTTATAAATCAGAAGTCAAGGGACTTAGAAGAGAGCTGTCATTTTCTCCCACTGTTGTTAGCAGATTCCTTAGTCCCGTCATAGAAATCAGGCCAATGTTAACACATCTTTAGCTACTACACTTACTCATGCTAGCCTCTGTTTTGGAGTCCGTGTGATAACTTCTCATCTTGTGAAACGTACGTGGGGAACAGGATACTTGTGCGGAAAGCTATCTCATTGCAAATTTATCTTCTGGAGGAGACAAAAAACAAGCTTCTGCTCCCACTGTTCCTTTCTCCACCATCTCCATCCTGTTGGAGAAGATCAAGAGGATGGATTAGCTTTGAGACAGAAATTGAGTTACCAGGTTCAAAGCAGATCAGATTCTGGCCTTTTGACTGATCGGCAGGTTGGTGCCCCTGGTTTCTCCCCCAAGCCCAGCTTCTCCTCTCAAAATCATTGTTGTAGATGGGAAAATGGGGAGAAGTATCTGGAAGAGGAAGATGGAAAGGATATATCTTTGGTGGAAGATTGATCAGAAGCTTTTTGTGCTGTAAAGATTTGTTAGAGGCCACATTTCTCCTAGATTAAACCAGCAGAGATTGTGACAGCCTTTGCTATTCCAATATACAAGAAATGCACAAGTCCTTTGAATCACAATTACAGTATCAGCAGCCTTCACAGTAACCAACTAACTATGGTGAATAGTTTGCAAAGAAGCAACAGATAGATCAAACCCAATCTGAGTCCAGATCAGAATAATTTCCAGATTTATTGTGTGATTAGAACACAGTGTATTGGAATTTGTTCACACAAACCCTGTATGGCTTCACTGTGCTGAAATTGAGGTGACCGAAATCTCAGCTGGCATTTAGTTTCTCAGCATGGAGAAATGGAAAGCCGGTGAGAAGAAGATGGATGCACAGAATGAAATGGTGCAAGGGGGGAGAGAGAGCAGAGACAGTGGAGAACGAAAACGAAAATTGTAATATATGCAAATAAAACTTCCTTTGCGTTGAGCCTGACTGCTGCTGGAATTGTGCTCTTCTGGAATAGCGCTGAACTTGGGTTCAGGGGGAACTGATACCCATTGATGATAGAGGTGGGATGTTCTTTCAGTGTGCCAGTCCAGCATACGGCCCTGGAAGTTCCTTACTTTCTCCCATCCAAGCACAGACCAGGGTCTAACCCCACTTAGCTTACCAGATCAACCAAGATTAGCTCGATGCTGCTTCCCGAGCAAAGCAGAGACCTTTAATAATTGACTGCAGCAATATCAGAGCTTCTTCACAAAATGCTACATGCTTGTTGCCAGGTATGCCCATTTACACACATGAATAAGCAGATATGAAGGCGGAATATACGCATGTATAGTGCGACACTCCTACTCAAACAACCACAGACAAAATTTATACAAAGCCGTCCTCGTTACTGTTATTTCAGCCCAGCAGTGGTTGGTTGTCGCTGGAAGACGTTGTAAATCACTCGCGTGAGAGAGAAAGATCTCTGGTGGGAATGCAACCCTCGGCAGAAAAACATCACCCCCTCTCTGAATTATTCCTTCTACGGCTCATTTAGAATTGCCTTCCAAGGATTTTTGCATATTGATTGTTGAAAGATTCTTGCGAGGTACTTGCAGCGTTGGATGGGCTATAAATCGGTTCTTTCTTGCACGCAATGCACTTGCTTCTGCTCGTTGGGTGGGGGAGTCTGAAGGTGGCCCTCAAGGTCGAAGGGAGGCCAGATCCTCAGTTCTTGGGCTAACGTCCAGCCAACCTCTTTCAACATCAACTCACTGGAGGGACTTTGGAAGGCGTAAGGGGAAAGGGAGGGCCCTGTGTCCTGTCCTGTGCTCCAGGGAGGAAGGGAACCAACCTGGAGGAGGGGTAAAGGTTTTGGACTCTGACTAGGGAAGCCCAGGTTCTGATCCATCCTCCCTGCATTACTTTGGAAGAGTCGCTTTCTTGGGCTAACCTTCCCCGCAGGGCTGCAGTGTGGATAAAAAGAAGGGAAACTTGCACATGAGCTGGGGAAAAGGCAGGGTATAAATTAAAATAATAAACCTGCTTTCAGCTGAAGCATCTGTTCATGACACAGTTGTTCTACAGTTGAGCACAAAGCCCATCTCTCCAGCATTAAGTTTCACTGAACATCTTGAGGCTTAACCCCAAATCAGTGGGGAGTGCTGGCATCTTTCATTTGTTTCCACTTCTCTCTGTTTTGATTTCTCTGTCGCTTAACTTGGTAACTCCTCATTCTTTTGCACTGGGTCTCCTCCCAGGAGTATCTGCGGGGTGTGGTCAGAAAAGTCAAGATGGCGACCACTATAATGCAAATGAAGCTCCACCTGTGCATCTTGACTTCTTTGACCACACCCTGCCAATACCTCGGGAATCTCCTCTCTTCCACAAGAAAGACGCCTTCCTGCCCAACTTTTCATTTCTCTCCTGCATTTAACAGAACAAGAGAGCAAACAAACCCAGTTTCCAGTTAGGAATATACCAGCGAGAGACATCTAAAAACAATCCAGCTTTTAAAAACCTGTTTTACATGGTTCTTTGAAGAGAAGACAACACTGAATGCTGTGCCTCCATCTCTCTCACTAATTTAGCATTGGCAACAGAGAAAATCCAAAAATCTTTCACTGCATCACTTTTTGCTCTGTAGAAGGATCTGGCAAAGGAAAGGAAAGTGTTTAGAAAGGTCAGAAATTAAAAGACACATCAACTGAATGCTGAGGTAGGATCCAGATAATTTCACAAGCTTTGATATAAGCATACCAAATTGCTTTTGCTAGTAAATGCATTATTCTTCTCTTTTTAAGCAGCTGTCTGAACTGAAATGTGGCGACTAGAGGTTTTTTCCCCTCCTTTCTCGTGATACCTGGAGAAGCTGCGTGCTTAGCAAGTTTGGCAGTTCAAGTCAGCCAGCAAACCAGGATGTTTTAATGGGTTCAGGGACATCTTCCTGGCAGAGGTCAAAAAGGTCAAGAGGGTGGCCACAACCACAGGATTGAAGCCCTGTCCGCTTTCTATGAGCATCCAGTTTTATATTTGCCTTGTTGAATGATGGGGATTCCTAGGTCAAGCCTGAGCTGTTTCTGGACCCTCCCCAGTGTTCTGCCAATGCTTTGGGCTTGATCCTCCAGCACCTCCTTAAAACCCTCTTTTAGAATCCAAATGAACTGGCAAAATCAGCTTTCAGTGGGGGCATTCTGGAAGTTGGCTATGATTCTATAATCACTCCATAATTTCAGGTTTTTGCATTTGAGTGGGGGAAAAGGGGATAATAGTTTTATTCATGTGCTACAGCAAAAGATGCTTATCCTGCCTTTCGGCAACCAGGTTGTTAACATTTTTGAGAATCTGTGGGGCCCTTAGGAGATGGCCAACTGCCGTAAAGCTGTAGAGCACTAATGAGCCACAGTTCCTTTACTTTTTTCTCCCATTCTTTGGTTCTGAACCCCCAAGGTGATAGTGGTCTTTCCACCAACCCAGGAATTGCATCTCTTGCACCCAGGCTTCCGAGAGAACAGGCTTGCTCTGGAAATAAATGTTGCCCACAGTCCCTTCCAAAGTAGGTCAGTTCCCCTTAATTCTTCAGGGCTGTTTCCTTTTATATCCTACCTTTCTCCACGCCTTCCAGTGACACCATTTATAGTCTGTTAATGAGTTTAGCAGGTAGAAGAGCTCTTTTGGTGCTGACAGCTCTTCCATGCAAGAGCAGTGGAGCAGGAGCAGCCAAAATAAATCAGGACGTTTCCTCAAGAAGCAGCTCATAGACGCCCCTGACTCGGTTCCTGCACTCTGGGCATCTTTTACCCTGCTCAGACGGATGCAGAATTCATCTGGGTCCTAAGCATGTACGTTTCCCTCAGCTCCCTTTTTAGGTAAGCAACATTAGGTGGAACATTCTGCAACATTCTGCAAAAAGGGGCGAGGAAATAGCCAAAGAATGAAAGGCATGAAATAAGCAAAAGAAAAGGAAATACAGTTAATTTTAGTTTACACTGACACCATTCACTATACTTCTCCATACCTTGCTGCACCGCCAACCATTTTGCTTCCACCTGCTTCATACATAGCTTTTTGAACTTCTCACCTCTCCTTTTTCTCATCCACTCCATTTAAGGCACAACTTTCTAGTCATTGTCTTGGCCCATTCATGCCTCCTTCACAGGTTTGTTTTGCTGTCCAATCCTGGTTCACAAAATCAAGTATGTCATGTATGAGGCCCCTGCAAGAATCATAGAATCATAGGGTTGGAAGGGATCTTGGAGGTCTTCTAGTCCAACCCCCTGCCCACAGCAGGAGTCCTCATACCATCTCGGACAAATGGTTGTCCAATCATTTCTTGAAAACCTCCAGCGATGGAGCACCCACAACACTGGGAGGCAAGCTATTCCACTGCTTAATAGTTCTCACTGCCAGGAAATTCCTCCTATTTCCATGTTGGACCTCTGACGAGCTTCCACCTATAGCTTCTTGTCCTTCCCTCTGGTGCTATGGAGAATAAATTGATGCCCTCTTCCCTGTGGCAGCCCTTCAAGCATTGGAAGACTGCTATCATGCCTCAGTCTTCTCTTGGTTACGCTAAACATACCCAGTTCCTTTAGCCGTTCTTCATAGGATTTAGCCTCCAGATCCCTTACCATCTTTGTTGCTCTTCTCTGCACTCTTTCTAGGGCCTCAGGGACCTCTTTCTGTCTCAGGGCAAGGCCATGAAATGTATTCCTAGGACGTCAATAATATGATTTAATTCACAAATTTCAATGTTGCCGCTATCTTTATTTAGATATATACAGAATATGTCTGCATCATAAAAAGAACACGTGCAACAAAAGGTTAAAGAATCCAAGGCCAGGGGGAGGACAAATGGACCTGGAATGTGGCATAAAAGTTGGAATTTTTCAGAATTTCAAAGTTGGCTGCTAATGTATGTGAAAAGTGGGAACAGATTAATGCCACTACGGAGAGTTAACCCTAACCCTAAGTTAAAATATTCAAACGGCATGATTTTTGAGGCACAGCACACAGCTGAGGGAGGAGCTGTCCTTGTTGAAATTCACCATTCCTTTTCTGCCCAGAATTTGGCAAGCCCAAATAAGCTTCAACCTATTGGGTTTACCTGTGTTCATATATAGCCTTGTACAGAGTTCTTTAATCCTGTTTCCTGCAATTTGACAAGGGGTGGTAATTAATTAAGCAGTATCTGGAGATCCAGGTTACTTCCTGTTCTCTTAAGGGGCAGAATTTTTTAGGAGGCAGGGAGGTTTTGTTTTGTTTTCTTAAAAAAATGAAATCAAGGCTTACCAGAATTTAACTGGAGTAAAGAAACCAAAATGTATGTTTGTTGAGCTTCTGGAATATTTATTTGGGATGATTCTAAATATATCATTAATTGAGATATTTTAATAGGGCCACAGTCTTATTAATTGGTTTGTTAGATTTATGTCCTCCCTTTCCTTCAGGAACTCAAGGGAGGGTTGCTAGTGCTCCCTTCTCTGGTTTTTCTCCTTGTAATAGCAACTCTGTAAGGTTGAACCGTTCACTGTACTTGTCTTTGCAGCTGCCGTAGGAGGGAAGGATCAACTCTTCCTTATTTCTCTGGTCTACGTTCTCACATCCTGGCTGACTGGGGTAAAATCAATCCCTCTAAACTCAAGGTTGATTAGTTTTAGGCAGGCATGTTCACAGGATGTTCAGGAAAGTCAAGATGGCAGCCACAAGGGCAGTCAAAGCTCAACCCAAGATGGCAATCGCACTATCTTGGCCACCATCTTGACTTTCTCACCACATCCTGCAGACACCCCTGGGTTTAGGCGTTCACCCACATACCAACTCCAGTAATAAATCAGTTAAATGTGTTGGGTGAACATCACTATGTTGGCTTTGGTCTTTGGGAAAGGAAGTAGATATTTTCCTAAATTATATATACCCTGAGGGGAAAAATTGCTATACAAATTTAAGGAATAATCTTGCAGAGGTTCGTTGATCTCTTTCCTCCTGAGCTTCCCTCCTGCAGTTGATCCTGATCTTTTAGGCTTCAGAAGTTATTAATCTTTTCCACGGTTAGTGCTGGAACTCTTCCAGTGTTTTGAAATTTTCTTGATGGTCATACAAGACATTAACTGGAATCCAGAGCATATTCATCAGGAAGGAAATGCACGCAGTTTAGGGAAAGGAGCTCCTGATCAAGTGTGTGGAGATGTCTCCCTCAGTAATAAAATATTGGGACTGTTAGAGTCCTATCTTAAAAGAGCTTCCCCCTTTTCTTGGCTCTTCCCTGTGATTCCAGGTGATCTATGCTTTGAACACTAAAATTGATGAGCATGAGGAGAATATCCAGGCTCTGAAAGACACCCATCAGGAAGAGGTTCAACGCATCCTTGCTGAGACCAGGGAAACTGTCCTGCAGTATGAAAGCAAAGTGGAGGAAGCTCAGATGCTCCAGAGGCACATCCAGGTCCTGGAAGCAGCCTTGGAGAAACACAGGAAGCAAAAAGAGGACGCTTTGTCAGAATTTGCCACGTGCAAAAAAGAGTATTTAGAGGCTGATCCACAGGCCAGACAAGGAAGTAAAATGTTCCCTTTCAAGGTAGGACACTCAGAGCTAGATGTTGAAAAGAGTGTTTGGGCTTGCAATGAGGATCCATCAGGCTTTGCAAACCAACCCTGGGCATTTGTGAGGGACACATGGGAAAACCAGGGAAAGTTAAGTGGAATTCCTGGCATGGATCTCCAGGAGGTAGTGAGAGAGATGGTGAAGCTCAAGTGGGAGAATCAGCAATCTACAGAAGATTATACAAGAGAAGCAGGCCGGGAAAGAGAGAAGGCCCTGCAACAGCCATCGGCTGATCCCTGCAAAGAAGGGCAGCAAAGGAAAAACAGCGGGACCAAAGATGTGGCTTCAGGTCAACAAGTAGGGGAACTAGAAGCTCACCTGGAGGCAAGAGGCCAGGAAATCAGTGAATTGAAGAAGTATTCCCAGAAGCTGAAGGAGAAGATGCAGGTAAGAAAGACTCCACACGCTCATTCACACGCCATAAAGTTACAAAATCTTTGAGTTGTTTTTGGCAAGCTGCTGAGTCAGACTTCTCCAACCTGGCACCATCCAGTTCTGCTGGAGAGTATCTCCCATAATCCCCAGCCCAGCACTTCTGAAGGGCTCCAGGTCTGGAAATGCTTGACTCTGTAAAATCTGATTCCATCCAATCTGAAATTCGGAAGACAGGAACTGGTATGCTGGTCAGAACAGGTACCATTCTTGCTAATGAAGGTATAGTTTCACCCTCATGCAGAATGATTGCTGCTAAATCTACACCAGGCAGGGGTGTCTGCAGAGTATGGTGAAAATAAGATGATGGCCACGATGCATTAAAAACAGACGACTCTTCGATTGTACCGTTGTGACTGCCATCTGGAATTTTTTCATCATGTTCTGCAGGTTTTGGGGAGGGGGGTTTCAATAAAAATAAATGGTTCCTATTTATTAGAAAAATGTAGCATTGATTGCTGCACTTCAGGACAACATGATTATTTTTAAGAATGTCTCTTGCAAATTGAGCCAGATTCTTGTTTTCATGGATATGTCTGAGTAGTTTTATCTGCAACGATATGAAAGTCGTTGGCCATTGCCTTCTCCTGGGATTTTTTAACTTTCCAGTCTAGCTTACAATTCTGTGATTTCCCATCACAGTAAGTATTAACCAGGTCCAACCCTATTTAGCTTTTCAACATCCACCAAGATCAGCTGGATGCTTCCCCCTAGCTGGGCCATCATTGTAACTCAAAACCTGCGTGCTAGTCAATGAATGAGCATTGCAAGAAAGTAGACAATGTGAGGAACCATTCATTTACCTTTCCAAAGGATATTCCAAGGTTGTGGGAAGAGATAATATTTCTCTGAAATTATCCCCTTCTTCAGAGCCAGGTAGCTGCAAGTATTTCAAAGTGGGTTGGTCACCATCCCAAACAGAACTTCAGGGTTTTTAATACAGGAGCATCTGCAGGAGAGTCTAGAAGCTCAAAATGTCATATATAGGGCTTTGATAGTGTGTTTGTGGTGTCATCTTGCCTTTTTTATTCTCCCTCTCTTCAACCATTCCCCTGGATGCCTTCATTGGAAGATATTCCCTGGATTAAAGTCTTTCTAGAAATTATCCTCTTAAGGAAGCTTCTAACGTACAGTGGAACCTCGGTTTACAAACTTAATTCGTTCCGTGACTCTGGCCGCAACCCGAATTGGTCGCAGCCTGAAGGAAATTTCCCCATAAGATTCAATGTAATTACCGTTAATCCGTTCTGGTGTGGAGGACAGGGA